TTTTTTTTTTTTTTTTTTTTTTTTTTTTTTTTTTTTTTTTTTTTTTTTTTTACCTCTAGCGACTCTGCAATTTTAATTATTATTTTTATCAAGGCACTCGTTTCTGTAGGCGCATAATATATGCGTGTACGCGTTTAGGCAAAAATTTAAGCTACAGTTTAATGAAAACGTTTCTGTAATTATCAGGAGCTAATACTACTGTGTTATCTTTTCTTTTTTTTTTTTTTTTTTTTTCGTTAATTATTAATGTAAAGAGGTGATAAAGCGTGCGATAATTTTCTAGTAACTAACGTGGCTATTTTTTTATTGCTGTACGCGTTTAAGGGCGTATAGTTGATTTTGATCTTTTATTGCTTTTATTTAATCTTATCGGAGAAATTTAAATTATCGATTGATCTCAGCTTGCGGTTGTACATTAAAAAGTATTTTGTAAGACATATGATATGTAATTGTATGCGGATAAAAAAAAAAATGTTAACGATGCGTATCGAAAATAAAGTATTGAATTTTACAAACACATGTTGTACAATTTATCGTTTTCCAAGTACCTTTTCGACGAATGTGTAATAACAATTAAATGCTCAAAAATTCGTAGCAGGGTGTAGGTACATATTTTTATTTCGAATTTTAAAAATAACCGATAAATACTCTTCGAACTAAGTGAGCTTGCAACGTACAGTAATACAATATCAGTCAGTGCAGATATACTAACGTATTATAATTGTAAAAAGTAATTAGCAACGAATTTCTTTGTGATACTCAAATTTCTTTGTAATAAAATAACTGTGAAAACGAATTTTTGGATAATAAGCCTTAGAAGTAGCAAATTAATGTTTTTTTTTTTCTTTTCCAACAACTTGAGAGCTTTCCTCGACTTTTCAGTTGGAACAAGCTCGCAAACAAATAAGTATTCTCGAGTGTACTTACTTTTATGTCTGTACTCACATTTTCCAAAAATACCACATGACTTATTTGATAAATCAAAATGTAACCAAGTGTAGGACTTTACCCTCTAAAACATTTCAACCCCCACAACCCCATGAAAAATCCAAGATATGGATATCTTCGTAATTTTTCCGAAAATGTGTCATACAAGGGTCTAAACTAAGCAAATCATAAAATAAGCGCGCAAAGACGAGCAGAAGAATTGGAAGGTTCCTAAAATGTATACTACAATCACTGTGGCGACCCTGTAGGGCCTGCACCTGCATATGCCAACCAACCCCTGCGAGAAGGGAACAGTCACCGCGTCCCCTATTTACTCTACAGTACGTTAAAGGAATCGGGATGTGTAATTTGGATAAATTTACATCATTTTTTCGGTTGAAGTAATTGATTGTATACAATTTCAGACATCCAAGAAACAACAAAACGTGAGTATTTTTAATTATTGTCAAAAAAATCCACCCGAAAAGCAAAGAAAAGCTGAATAATTGAGAGGGAGAGACGGCCAACATGGAGACGATGACGAAAAGTGGTGGGAGGTTAGATACTGATAGTAACGAGGTGACGCCACTCACAACTACAACGGCAACGGGTAACGGTATAGGAACGCCTGCGGTAGTGTCGAGTAAGGAACAGCCAGCAGTGGCGACAGCTGGGGACAGTAACTCGGTACAAGCTATCTACAGGCCGCTCCCAGACGAAGACGTCAATTGGAAGGCCTCGAAGAAGAGCAACAGCAGTCCTAGTAATAACGTCCCATTGACAGCCATCAAGATGGGCAAGCAGAATGGAAGCACCACTGACGTTAATGACGGGGCCGAGGAGCGGATGCTCAAGGACGAGGTTAAACTATCGATCGTCCCTAGCAAGGATGCCTCCGAGGTACGTTATCTTTTACTATTTCAAGGAAATCCGGGCTTTTTCACTCTACTTTTCATTTCATGTTACTTTGATGCAGGTCTTTATTCAATTATAGTAATCATTCTTGGCTGCAGACAATGCTGACTATGTGGCACACTCGTATCTAATGTCGCGACGAATTGCTCACTTAAAACCTTAATAGCCTGTTAACTTTTCCTTCTTTTTTCTTTCATTCTGTTCAGGCAGACTTAATATTAAACTGATCGTGTACACAAAAAGCACGTTTTATTCATTTGGGTTATCCAATTTTTTTTCTCCAAAAATAATTTTATCGAATAGCTTTATATTAACTACCAAGTCTTTTAATATGTATTACTACATTGTAGATTTTTACTTTTAATAGATTTATTTTCAAGCTGGATAATGTTATTCAAAATTACTGTAGTAAGGAACATGTACAGGCACTTTGTATTGCATAGTCTCAGTCTTATCTCAAACAGTATTAAGTTACAGATAGTGTGCTAATGAACATGTAAATCATTTCAGGTTCAATTCAGATCCGAGAATGGAGATACCAAAGTTAACATTGAAGCAGTCAAAGAATGTTTGTCTGGAATGAGCAAACAAGAATTGTTGAAATATGCCAATGATCCGTTTTGGATAAAGTTGAGGTGGTTCCTTTTCATCACATTCTGGCTGCTCTGGGTTGCCATGTTGGCTGGGGCTATTGCCATAGTAGTGATGGCACCAAAGTGCAACTCACCAGCTCCAAAAAAATGGTGGGAAGAAAGTCCCATTGTCAGACTCAATCCTTCTGACACTCCAGCCAGAAGCTTGGATGGTTTAGAAACTTTCTTGAACATTCTTGAAGAGCAACATATCCAAGCTATTTCTCTAGGTTCAATTTTAAAAGAAACCTCCCGTGGTTAGTTTTCATTTATTATATGTAGTCTCCTACATCTATGATATACTTTCTTTACTCTGCATACCATAATCTGTATTATTATACTTATGGTTTATCTGTTTTATCAGTTATCAATAATTTTTTTACTTTTACTTATGCAGTCTAACAATTTTTAGGTCACGTTGAAGATTTCAAAGATCTGAATCAACAAGTTGGATTAATCGACAATTTTAAGAAGTTCATTAAAGCTGCAGCAGAGAAAAATATTAATGTGATCATGGAAATAGATCCAAATCATTCATCTGATAAGCATCCTTGGTTCCAAAAATCAATCAAGCGAGAAGAACCTTTTACATCTTACTATGTATGGGCTAATGGGACTAAAAATAGAGAAAGTAGTGAGCTGTTGCCACCAAATAATTGGGTAAAAACCTTTAAATAAAATTATTTATGTATCATCTTGGATATTAGAATATAGTTAATCATTTATTTTAAAACAGGTGAGTGAGAAAGGAGGCTCGGCGTGGGAGTTTAATGAAGAAAGACAACAGTTCTATCTCCATCAATTCAACGTCAGCCAACCTGAATTTAACTACAATAATCCTGTAGTGGTTAATGAATTTTCGGTAAATGACTCATTGCGTGAATTTTAATGCCATTAATTTTAAGAAAATTCAATCATTAAAAAGCCTATTCAAATTACAGGAAATCTTTAAATACTGGCTTGACTTGGGTGTAAAAGGTTTTGTGCTTTCCAACACTCGTTACATGGTAGAAGATTCCAAACTGCGTAATGATTCTCTCAGCTCAAATTATCCAGCTGAAGCAGGATCATACCAATCGCTTCTGCATATTAACACGCGAGATAACGCACAAAACGCAGTTGTACTGAGACAGTGGCGTAATGTTGTCGCCAATTATACTAGTGGACAAGGGTAAACAAATATTTAATATAAGTAAGATAACTTTGTCGTTCATTTTAATTTTTAATATCATTTATGTTGCAGCTTATTCACCCTAAATGAAGGAATAAGGCATGACATTCTGCCGTTGTACAATAAAGAAAAAGTTTTGATTGACCTTCCACAAAGCTTACACTTCTTGTCAGAAATTGATCCCACAAACACAGCTCACCAGTTGAACAAAAGCATTTCTGACTTGCTAGCTTTTGCGCACTGGCCAGGAATTGATGTAAGAATTTTGTTAAGTAAACTTTTAAAAATATATTTAAAAAAACTATTCTAAACATTTTTAAATATGTTACTTCTTAGTTAAATGGCAAGGGTCCTAGCCTAAGGAAAAGAATTAATGCCAACCTAGCTGATAATTTGATTTTGATGACAATGCTTCTCCCAGCTACACCATTCTTAAATATTAATGATACCATCTCGGCTAAGAAACCTTTCGCTATACTTGCAGAAGCTCGCAAAAACGTAGCATTCCATTATGGTAAAACTCAAACGCACGTTCTGAATAATGCAACTGTGTTTGTGTATACACGGTAAGCAAAAACTACTATAGTCTTAGCTTTTTACCGTAACTTCGGATCACTTGTTCAAAAAAAATGTTAATCTATTTACACCACGACTTCTTGATAACTTTTAATAGTTTTAGTTTATAAAATGTTCAAACAAATATTTGATTGTCAAGCCATCTAGATCTTGACATTTATTAATAGTTATTACTGTTACCGCTACTCTGTTTTATTCCCTGTAATTGAAGTTAATAGTTGCTTCACCTATAAATCAATTGAAGTGATAGCCATCTCTTGGTCAATTCAAAGCTCCATTAAATTTAGCCTGTGTTATTCTTTTCATTCTTTGTCAATTGTACATCCCGTTAGGAAGTCACTAAAATCAACTATTTGTTTGTGAAAAACTAACTTTGTCTTAATTTACAATGTTACATGCCTGATCTTTTCTGGTTTAGAAATGGGTGAGGGTTATACTATACTTTCAAATTTTACTTCGTATGTATTATACTATTGTGTAAGCGTGACGATAAAAAATGTTATTTTACAGTGTGAAGAGTGGCAATCCAGGATACTTGGTTGCATTTAACACTGCTTCCCAAAACACAACGATTGATGTGACTGGTATACCGCATGTATCAGAAGAGGTGAATATTCTCACGCACAGTCAGAATTACAACGAAAAACTGGACAGCAAGTAAGAAAAAAAAAAAATGAATAGTTAAAAGATTAAATCAATCTTGAAATCGATTGTAAAATAATTTTAAAATGATTTTTTTACAGGAAATTGCCAGCTCATAGGATACCTCTATCATCTAAAAGTACATTGGTAGTGACTTTCGCTCCAAAGTAATCTGACTACAATTTAAAATGATTCTTTGCATTTGTGTCTATACTTAAATGTTATTCCAATAACGAAAATAAAAACGTTGCATGCATTAAAAGTAATACAATTAGACCTTGTTTTTTAACCGCTTTTTTATTGAATTAATTTTTACATGGTTTATACACTAAAATAGATTTTATTTTTACGAAAAGAAAATTTATTGAACTTACTTTTCTTTACTTGGGCGTTGCATTAAAGATTAGCTATACCCTCGTTAAAAAAAGTAGTGTCTAATATTGGCGTGCATACATTATAACCACGGTAATTACAATGAGCCCTTAGGTTCGTTATCTTTTTGTCCTGGCAAAGTATGCTACAAGTATTAAGAAAAATATTTGCATTCACCTTAATAAGTATGTACACGATTTTTACAAATACTAGCTTTTCATTCTACTCTCAAGTTCATATGAATGGTTCAAAGTGAAGCTTATGAGGGTCTGTAAATCGAGCAGTAAGGATATAAAATATCGCTGGCAATGGCACTAGAGCCAACATTGCTGGATGAAGATATGAGCCACGTTCAGTGGCTATAGCTACTATCCCATAGCCATGTAACAGCCAATGTCCCAAAATCACAATGACATTTTTTATGTCTAAAATTGAACTTAAGAGTAAAGACTTCATAGTCTGAAAAAAAAAATTATTTTAAGTTTTAAAGCAATTCTGTAAAAAAATTAAAGTATCACGTACTATTTCGTACCTGGTTTAATTTAAAGGCAAAATGTGCAGCACTGGAAATAGCTGATAAAACGATTGTTATGTATGGAAAGGCATAATCTGCAAAGTTAAAAATTATTTTTTCAAGAGCTTAAATTGCAAATTAAAATATATATAATTTGAATGTGCTTACAAATCAGTCCACTTCCAACGGCATGTAACAAAGCCAGAATTGGGAAAAAATAAAGAGCAGCATATATTGAAAATTTTCCCTTTTTTGGCAAACATTTTTGTGCTATCAAAGGTCTCACTACCAGCATTATCGTTACAGCAAATGCATAAAAAACAAATATCATAGTATACCTATAAACACACAAATAAATTATATAAATTTCGTTGGATACTTTAGATGAAATTTAAATGTAAAATATCAATCAAGTGTAACTTACAATGGATACACAGCCTCATGCGTACAGTGTAACGTAGTTTCATAATTAGGGCTGGGGTTATGCAGAAGTGTGTACCAATCTGACAGCCTTCTAACTTTACAGGAATTAATGGTAAATGACCCAATTGGCTCTGTCAAATAAAGAGTAACGACGGATGCAGCGAGTATCTCGAATAAAGCGGACAGGTGTAGTGCTATGACTTCCTTTGGAATACTACTTCTCATTGTCACCTGGTCAATGGAAAACCAGTGCAGTACCAAAGCAAACAGTGCCATGAAACCGAGATACAGCCAGTCATAGAACATTGGCACGTCTTCGCAAGGAAAACAAGCTGATGAAGCATTTGTCCTGAAGCCTCTGGGACATGCCCCACACTCTGTCCAATTCCCATCAGACAGTTGTTCACGACCACAGTATAGGCCAGGACATCTCATTAATGAGTTCATTTTTGTTTCCAACAATTTCTAGTCACCTTTCATGCATGATTTCAAGAACCTAGTTTACACTTAAAACTCTAGACAATTGGCCAACTGCAGTGTCACGTCACAGATCCAGAGTTAAAATAAAACTTCAGTAAATTAGAATCATTTTTATTTTTTGATTTATGTAGTAAAAATCACCAAGTTCTTATAAAATTACACACCCACACGTACAGCTTATATTCGAACTTTATTAGGGAGCTGCAATTAGTTAACTATAGTCAACGATGAAAATTTTACGAAGCTTGGAGTAATTTTACACTAAATATTTTGACAATATCGTCATCTGGACGATCATGCTTCTGCCTGCAACTATATAGATATATCAATTACATATTATACTTATATGGTTCGTCAAAAAAATGTAGATCAGCGCCATCTAGCGGTATTTTTATCCTCGCCCCAACGCCCAACGCTCAAAATGCCGCTAGATGGCGCTGATCCACGTAACAGCGTAACACACTTTTTTCATTTTTAATTTTTTGATCTTTTCGCAACAAACTCCGAACTATAAGGGGGTTAAACTTATCAATGAAAACTGAGTCATATCACAGAAATTTTTAAGTTTGTTTGTATCAGGAACATTGCAAATTTAACAAAACATTTGGATTGTCACCTTTAAATCGTGAAGTGCAAAATTCAAACTGAGTTAAATATTTTAAACAACAGAATAACCACAAAACAAATAAACTCATCATTGAGCTCATTTGCTTTTTCTATCTCATAAATTATTCCACATACCATATGTATAAATAACTTGTTATGTACGCACTTACGTCAAGTTAATTATATTATTGTCTTTTCCCGAATGGAAGGTCCTCATATTTCCCGGCCGTTGTTACACAAACCTACGAACACTAACATTTTTATCAAAGATAAAAGCTATTTCATCACCCAGATTTTATATCACTACGGAGAGTGTGTTCAAAAAAATGTGTCCCGCACATTTTTACGCGGATAGCCGACTTGCAAGCTCGCAAACTTTTTTTTCAGGACCGTCTGCTACACACGAGCTCGCATACTTATGTCCACATTTCTCGGTTCGCATTCTGTAAAATCTGGAGCAAAGAAGCTGATATTATTATGATATTTTGTACCACCACCTAAAGTTGTTTTAAATTGGTATGTACAGACAATAAAAAATAATGAGTGTTGTATAGGATGAAACAAACACACGTAAGTATCTGCTAAGATAAAAAATTGAAACAGCAGAATCAACTGGGTATAAAAATTTGACTATACAATGTACAATCCAGCCATTCTCATATAGGCACATTTGTAATAATACATGAGGTAACATGTAGGTACTAATTATTGCATATACTCACGCAGTGGGGGCTATCCAAAATCTAACTTTTTTTTAGGATGTATCACTGCAATAATACATGACTTATATATACCTAATGTAAACGAAATTATAACATAATGCGTCTCTCTTTTTCGATATCTCGACGCGACGACGCATTGGCCACCGCATATCTATATGCATGTCTTTTCACATTACACATCTAAGTAAAGTGTGTACATAACATTGAGGTATGTAGGCGCACGTACGCATCGTAATATTCGTGATAAAAAAATAAAATAAAACGCAACACTCTTACAAGCTCCTCCGCTCCTGGAGCCGCTCCTTATAGATAACCCAGCAGCACAGCAGCAGTACATGCGTTTACGCATATCAGGAAGGAAGAGTAGCAGAGCCAAGAGGAAATCGAGGAAAATCAGAGGAGCACCAGAGAGCTGGAGCCAAAGGCTACAGGCTCGTTGAGAGCTGTGCATCAAGGAAAAGTGCGCAGCAGCCGTCCACCACCTCATCATCATCATCATCATTGTGTTTGTGCGTAATATATATGTATGTATATAATAGTTATTTTATAAAAATCGGAGCTCGCGGAGTTCAGAGCAACAGCAGACGGCAGAGGAGCAGTGTGTGTGCACACGTTATATATACCTAAACCTGAAACCTAGGTTGATTACCTCAGAGGAAAAACGACACGTGCGCGCAAAACTGGAAAATCGTCAAAGGACGCGCACGTATTACCTCTTTCTCTTCCTCTCGCTCAAACCCTCGTTGACTCGTTCCCCGAATCCCCGCAGCTCCTATAGGCACACATCACAATAAGTACAGCGGCCACAATACTGCTCTTTTTTTTCGGGCTAACCACCTAAATCATCTACAGGTACAAAATCTCGGGTCTTGAAAACATCGTGCTTCATCATCATCTGCAGTGCTGTCTGGCTATTTTTTGTCTCCTCTTCTGCTCAGCAGCAACGGAGAGAGACTTGTGCAGGGTGACGACGACGACGACGACGACGATTTAGCAGCTCCATAACCTATGAAGACGAGATTGTCGTAGCCGCCCGGTCATCAGTGTAGGCGTATATGCATTTGTGCGCGTATATTTGCGTATAGCAACAGTGTATCATACAGCAAAGACCAACCGGGAAGTCTAGGGTATACTGCAGCGTGGAGGAACGACCGTAGCAGAGAGGCAATAGCAGAAGAGACCAAGCCGAAGAATACGGAAAAAAAAGAGCAGAGAGAGAGCGAGTGTGTGATATACATATATGCGTTGCACAGCGCCACACGGGTTACGGTGAACGTTACGACGACGCCGGGGAGGACGACAGACGGCGGGGACCGCCCGTACATACTTTCATTACCTATATACAATCTATACTTACGTTCTTACGTACTGACATGGTGGAATAAGAATATATAAGCACCGATGCTTGCTGTCTGCATACCAACGCATAACAAGTATACAAGCGTACTCCAAAATACGTTCTGTCGAGGAACATCGTAGCTACTTTATATAGAGCATTGCGAGCGAGATAGAAAGAGGGTACGCTCTGCGTGAACGTGAAGACACTGAAGACACACGGACGAAAGAAAGGACACACACGCGCGCGCAGCACACGTACTACGACGACAGCATCATCTACCCCTGGGGCTGGCTGCTTCAGTAGCAGTCCCGAGGCTCTGTTTGTTGAGGAGTCACCACCGCGTGCAAGCTGATGAGCCCACGTTGAGCAACTGTCTCTGGAAAATTAGCAAAAGAGGACGAGAAGGTGGAATAAGTAGTGACGACGGCGACGGCGATGATGACGACGATGACGGCGACGAGAGTGGTGTAGTGTGTTGTGGTGTAACGGAGGAGTTACTTATAAAAAAAAAAAAAAAAAAAAAAAAAAAAAAAGACGGCGAGGGGTATCCGGCCGTACACGTCGCCGCAGACAACGCCTCTTTTCTCCGTGCTTGTGTGTACACAAGGAGAATTGTCACCGTAGCTTTGACTCCGAGAGTCGACTACGGTCGACAGTCCCCCTACGGAGTATCCACACACACGCGTCTGCAGAGGGTGGAGAGTTGCGTACAGCTGGTGGGACGGCGTACGGCTCACTTGTTTGCACCTGGATATCACTAAAGTGTGTACCAGTACCAGTAGCAGCAGCAAATTTCGTCAGTACAGTGCCGAGGCAGCAGCTTTAATTAGTTTTGAAAAGTGTAGTTACATTTAAGAATTTGTGTTTTTTCTAACAGAGAGAAGAAAGAGCAGCTACAGCCGAAGAAACATAGGTTAAAGCCACAACACTTCAGTGTCACATGTAAGGAAGAGTTAAAAATTTTTAGTATAGTGCATCAAGTCTCTGTAGAGGATAAAAAAAGTGTGTTTGTTGTATGTTGTACAAGTGCTTTGGTTCTACCGTTCTGTTGTTAGTGTTTAGTGCAAAATTGATTTACACATAGCATATCATTTGCATCTGCAAGTCTCCACTCTCCACTGAGAAATATCAGCTCCACAGCAGCTGCCACACAAGTTAGCCAGGGATGTGTTGCTCGATGGTTATTAGCTAACACAGTCTCAACATCAGGGAGAGGCACATTCAGAGCAGTATTGTTGTCAAACCAGACAATCATTTAGGATCCACGGTGCCTCCAGTCCAAGTGATTTCGCCATGTCATCAGCTACCTTTGTGGATCGAATAGATCCTTTTGCCAAGCGCTCCCTCAAGAAGAAATCCAAAAAATCTCAGGGTGCCTCCAGGTACCGCAACTCTCAAGAAGTGGAGCTACAACAGCTTCCCCTGCTTAAAGGTGTGTATCCCATGCTTATACTACAGCTTACAACCCATTCTTGCATATCTCAGTTTGCATAAATTCATGCTCATGGGCAGCAGGGCCCTTTATAGACTGCTAATTAAAATTTTTTGCTAGAGGTAAATTGTAACATAGCTAAGGTGTAGGAATTTAGATAACATGATTGAAAGAACATACTTAAAGTAATGAACTGTATTATATTAGGACGTAGTATCAAAAATTGTAATCCAGTTTTTATTGTAGACTTTGAATAAGCTAAAGGCATAATTATGTAAACTGTACACTTGTATACTTAAATATTAAATTAACTGGAATCATATTGGAAACATTATAAACTCTCAACAATATTAAAACCAATTTATTTTTTATACTAGAACAATAATCTCTCTACTTTTTGCATTATAAAAGATTTATTACTATAACACATCTTTTGCAACCACATTAACTACAGTTAGCTAACCATAATCGAAATTTTTCTAATTACAATTATTTTTTAGTTAACAAAATGAAAAGATCAGTGAAGTTTTATATTATTTTAATCTTTTGAACATCTGAGCAGAAAATAATAGTAGATACACATAAAAACTACATATCCATATATTATTATTTAGTCTAAATATTTTTTATACGAAAGCAACAAATTTTACAGTAAATAAGTATCTCTCGGTTTCGTAAACATAACCTAAAATGTAATAGACTACTAAATGACAACTACAAATATTTTATACCACAGTGGCAATTAAGTGTAGCTCTTTTAAATTTTTTTTTTTTTTTTTTTTTTTATCACTTTTCAGTAATCAAAGTTATCAAATATCAATGTATGAAGATAAAGTATTTATCTTTTTCCCCAACAAGTTTCCCATACTGTTTCTTTTGATTAATAATATGTGTATGTGCTTTGATCTTCAATAAAAAAAGTATACTTTTTTTCTTACATAATTATTATTCTTAAAAGAGGTACACAGTCAATGCATCTTATGTAAATTTACTAAGCATATTTACTTATGAGTTGTTATCATTTTCCACCAAATATTTATTTTAGATTACTTACTAATATTTTTTATCTGCAAATTCATAGACAAAATGTTATGGCTTTACTTTTACATTAAAAATCCTATATGTAGTTTTTGCTTAGTTGCATCCTTTTAGTAACATCTTGTGAATTATATAATAAAATTATTATTTTATATCAAGCAGAATATAATAGATTCCGAGTTCTGACAAGCCATTAATTCTTAGAGGAATGCGTTGGTAATATTTATGTAACATACTTATATTTACATGAACATAAATGCACTATTTTTATTGATTTTTATTTAACTTTATAAAAATAAGTTTTGTAGTGTAGTTATAGTGCAAGATTTTAATTTTGCCAACTGGAAATTTTCTTTTTATTTATTACGTATTTATTCTTGATAAAACTTTTTTTTTTCAGTGTTAGTGTTGTATTATTTTTTTTCTTTTTTAATACTGATATAATTTTTATCCGCTTCATTTTACTTACTAAAGAAATAAAATTATTTTTCTCTAATACTTTGTAAAAATCGATTAGTAAAACTCTATTTATCATTAAAACTTTGTGTATCTTGCAGTCTATTATCTTAAAATATAAGCTTTTGCGTTTATCCTTATTTTTAAACAATGGCATTATGTTTTCACTTTTGTATTTGTTAGTCAAGGATCAGCGTCGAACTCCAGTCTTTTAGTGCACAATAACCCACAGGGAGAGAGGGCTCTTGCTCCTTCGATGTGCAGAGACAATATTTAGTCCACTAGCGTATGTAATAGCCTCGATTATTCTTCAAAAACTTTCAACTCAGACTTTAATTATTAAACATGTTGTTTTTATCTTCTGTTTGTCATTCTTATTTTTGTAGAAGTGAGTGACAAACCTCTGCAAATTGGGTGAAAAGTTATCAGTGATAAAAGCATTTCACGACAGTCAAAGAATGAAGTAATAAAATTATCTGAGTAGGATGCACACATTGCGAATGATGAAGAAATCATAGGCCCGCAAGCAAGGAGTAATCAAAAAAGATACCCAAGAGTGTTGAACAAAATTAAAATCCCATTATTGTCCTCGCTCGTTAAATTTATACAGCGCATTAAAAAAGACATTGCAACTTTTTCCTCCATGACTTGTACGTATACAGATAAATGTTATCAATGTGGACTGCCAGTCTGCCTCGTGGTAAGCTCATATATGTACATGTAACTCGACGCACAGGGTACATAGTGGTACCTTGTGGGATGTACAAATACTTGGTGCATCATCTCACCTTCGTGACAATCATGCTATGTATTTTTGCAAATTTTTCCAGTCGCCGTTCACTTTATCTATTTCGCCTACAGATATCACGTACAAATACACGGCTATACGTTGCCCAGTAATGGAAAATCGATCGACACGAACACACAGTAACGGGTCAGCGACATTTGTGCTTACGCTGTTTTTAACAATTTCATACGTATTTGACTTTGTGACAAAAAATGGATGAAAGCTTGAGTTTTAGGATTGCAGTGTGTCATAGCCGACTCAGGGGCAATATGCTGGATGAAAATAGGTTATTGATTAATTCAAAATACGTCTTGCATGTCAGAAAAAGATCTAACCTGAGTCTAACAGTTACAGAGTGGATACTTGAAGTATCCTTTAAGATAATAACAATATGAAATGATAACAATGATGATAATTTAAAATAAAAGTTGTATCAATAAATTTATATGAATACTCAATCAAAATTTATGCGAATATCAAACTAGCAGTACATATCGCGTATCTCTAATTAGGACGGGGCTAGAGCAAATCGGCAGGCGAAAGAATTTGTTATTTATTTTTTGTTTACTGTTTATCGTTGATTGTTTACTGTTTTGTCGCTGATTTTTAAAACTCAAAATTGAAAAGGCTATTATTGTCATGCAAAATTAAAAGAAAAAAAATTCATTCAGTTGTATAAAAAATTTAATAGTGCCCTCTAATTTTTTAAAGAAAATAGCGTAAGTATTAGTAAAACAAATTTTTTTTAACAATCCTGTCAATATTTCGTAAGTTTTCTTTTAATTAAATAAATTATGTGCAGTACTTATTTAGGGTTGTAATCATCCCTTATTCAAAATCGTGTTGAAACTTCAAAGCTTGATTTTTAGTATATTTGGAATTAATAAAAGAAACGTTGAAGTTATGATAAGTTGCGAATTTTTTTACTTCGAGTATATAAAAATTCTGAACCTTTTTATTACGTCAAAAACAAATACTTGACACCGTAAGTAAAAATATTTTAGTGTACAAAGAGTTATCACACTAGCCTCGCACTATAACAGTACAATACATAAAATCCATAATGATTTAAAAACTATAACATGTTAATGATAACAACAAACTGCCTCCAGCACTACAATATTACCATTTCTAACATAAACAAATGCGTCCTTTGTCACTGCAATGTTTTTTGACGTATACACACTTTACATAGTCCAAATAAATATATTATTTTTAATAAGCAGTAGTTACTAATTAATATTATTATACAATTACAGCATTAGTACACCGGGAGTGACGCTTTTACGAATCATGTGAATTCGGAAAGCACAATTGTTAAGCTCGCTAAGCTCTTTGAGCGAAAAACTAATACTTATGCCAAAAAATATTTCTAACCTTTGAGTGAATAATGGTTGTTCAGTGCTTGATTGACACTTGTACAGCTCTGTACATGTTATAGCTTTTGTTGGTATATGTTAATTTCTGTCAAACAATGATATTTTGTTAAATTTATTGAGAGCTATGTAATATTCAGCAAAAATATCCACGTGGAATCTTTAGAATGTTGTCAGTTGTTATTTTTGTACGATAGATATAGAAATCCGTTTGGTAAGTGCAAAACGTTCTGTGTAATGATTCTTGCAAAATATTTTTGTGTAGCTGTTTTATTTCAAGATATTGAATGAATCGTGCATTATTTTTGTATGATTCAATTACTTATCCTTCCTCTTGTTCTAATTGTTAGTCTAAAATAGTCGCTAAAAATAATTTTTTCTAAAATGGTTCCAAAAGTTTCTTAGATTCAGACAAATCATCAGTAACACTTATTTTTCATTTTAATTTAAGGCTTTGGAATCTAAACTTTCATTCACACGAAATCTTATTAAAGTCTCTTAATTAACAGTTTTATTGAACACAGAACAACTATAATCATCAAGTTGTAATCCTAGTTTTCTCAAGGAAAAAAAAAGAAACAGCTCGATCACAAAAGAAAAAAAAACCGAAGAAGAAAAAATAGTATAAAAAAGCGATGAATCGCCAATCGAAGAATATTTTTCTCTGACGGCAGCGCGTATTTGAAAAAGGTCAGCGGCTCATGCCAAGTCGGCAAATTGACCGTTTTACAAAATGACGTAGAATGGAACGGTGGTCTACGCACACGCTAACTATCTTTTTCTCTCCCCTGTGTCTGTGGGTTGGAATACACACCTGCAAAGAGGAGCGTTTTACGTAACGTACAAACGCCGACGACTGCTGCCGACGATCTAAATTCGATGAGAAAAAAGGGGAAGAGACGGAGAGGGAGAGTATGTGAAACACACAGAGATTGAGAAGCTCGCACAAGAGTATTACCGATGCGACGTCTGTGATGGTCGAAAAATTGTGTGGGTGCAGTGCTAGATTAGCTTCTTTTCACATCAAATACAATCGTCATTTATCTCTTTTGTAGTATAAATCGAGAAGGAGCACCCTTATAAGACCCTTTTTTTCAAAAGCATTGAGTTGATTTTTACTATCTCTATATCTACCCATTTTTTATTTCTGTACATCCATGTACAATAATGTTAAGACTGACTTTTTCAACCGGTTTCTCAATTATTAATGAGTTTTTTTTATCTAATATTGAATTATATAAATTGAAGTTGCTCTCTTGAATATGAGTAAATTAGCGATGTATTATTAAAGTTAAAGCTGTGGTATAAATTGTTGCTTAATATTTATTATCGTCGAATTGTAC